CGTTAATTAGCTGCGTTGTTCAGATTCATTATGAATTTTTACTTGAAGGTGCCAGCTGCATCTAATGATAATTATCACCTCATAGGCACAAACTGGTACATTTTAATTCCCCAATAGCGAGCATTATGAGTTTGTCACAAACTTTGTCAAATATTGACAAAACATCTTTCATGTTATGGATAATACAATAGCCAATCCTTTTGTCTCCGTTTTCTCTATGCAATTTTTCTGTGAAGGGTATTTAGGAAGGAGAACATTAATTTGATATACATATATAGTATCTACAAAAAATGTTTTTCTATCAGAAAATAAATAGACTTTTCTTTTAATTAATCTGCTTAAACTTTGCTATTAGCTTTTTAAGGGTATAAAGTATTTGGTCTACCGGAAATAATGGTTTGTTGCGCGTTTTCTCTTCGCATTTATGAATTTTGGCATGCAAAATTGTCTTTTGAATATTAAATATATAAGTATATATTAATGAGCCATGATTTTTGTTACATTCCCAAGCACGCGAATATATAAGCAATCAAATTAATGTTGATGCCCTTTAAAAACTACTTTTATCGCTTACATATTCAGAGAAAAGTACAGATACGAATGATTGGGTTAGGTCTGCAATGAAAATACAAATTAAATTTGATATAAAATAGTTCAGATTATAAGAATATGAGTGTGAAGTATTTCGGACTACTTTATGTTAACTTATATATGAAGAAATTAAATATAAATATGATATAGAATATTTTAAATTTAAAGCCTCTTGTAAATGTAAATTTGGTCAATCAACTAACAATTGGAAGCAATATATACGCATTTATTAGAATCAACAAATCTTCCCTTTATAGTATTATTTTCCCATCAAGTTGCAGCTTTGCCAAATAATTAAATAACTTTTTAATACCATAAGCAACCGAAATATTGTCACACACACACTCACATAGAGAGATACACACACACAAACTGACGGGATTTGCCGTCAGTTTGATAAGTTGGTCAATCATTATGGATTTTGATATTATATAAGTACTCAGTGTATATTCATATTGACACAATGATAAACCAAACGAACGCACGCAGAGCGCACGAAGGCTGATTGCAAATTTAATTTGCATTGACAGTCAGTTTGCCTGTTGGTCGGTCGGTCAGCTGGTCAGTTGCCATATTAACATAATTTAAATGAAATGCTTAACGGCAAAAATCCATTCGAATAGTGTTTGCTGGCAAACCAAATGCAAACTGAGCGCATCGCAATACGCAATGCAAAAATCATACTCGTAATCACCAATGGCCATGGCGAATATTTTGAAACATTTTGCACGCAGGCCACAGCGGGTAAGTGTGTGAAGGGTGCACGACTAGTAGATATCCTGTAAATACAGACACTATATATGAGTTGGCTAGATTAAAAACATATTTAAATCTTCAAGTTGTAATTCTAATTTTCTTAAGTTGCGGCTAAAGCTGTTTATACTAGGATATGGGTATCCACAGTCCAAACTTACTTACCCTAGCTTTTATAGGCGGCTTCTTCAGCCTTGACCTCTTCTGCAACAAGTGGCAAGTGGCCAATTCTATTTTCCTTTGGTCTTAAGTGTTCAAAACAAGTTTGCAACTACAATTTACAATTCGTATAGTTAGCGGAAAAAGAGCTGGGTAAATTTATATTAATGCCTTACGCAATCTACATAAAGTATAAAAGAGCCTACGTACCAAATTTTCAGGCTCTAATTTTTATAGTTCCTGATATCTATGAGAATGAACTTTCACGCATTTTAGAGTTTACAGGGTAGAGCCACGCCTCTGTAAAGCTCACCCGCATGTAAACTAATTCGTATCTCATAAAATGGGTCTGTTTGTGTTTGTTATTATTATTTTAAATTGATAATGCTGGCGTTATTCTCATGCGGCTGGCAGCTTCGTTTCGTGGGTTCCATGGATATTTTGAGCATATTTTTGTGTGTGTGTGTGCGTGTGTGAGGATTTACAATAATTGGGTTAGAGTAAAATTTATGAATTTGTTCGTTATACGTTTTACTAATTATGGCAATGTTATTATTGTAATTGCGGAAATATGCTGGCAGTACCTGGGAGTGCTCCACTTGAGTTTGTTTATCCACTGATTAAATTTGGTATGGAAATTTTGCATAATGCATATATATGTATACATATATATATATAAATATATAGATATCAATAGCAAATGCTAACAAACAGTCGACTTTTATTTGAGAGTTTTAAAGCGATTAAATAGCAGCTTTAAAGCCCGCCTAAAGTCATTTGGAAACCTGATAAATGTGTGGCCAAAACTTGAAAAGTCATAATGACACACAATCTATTAGAGTTCTAGATATTGGAACAGTCCGCCTGGGCAGACAACATGCGCAATGACATTCGAGTACAACATTTTTGGTACCATCAAGATGAGGAAATTGTTGATGATGGCCAGAGCCTCAAGTTGGAAATCAATGTTGATGATCTGTGCACAACATTTTGGGGCCAGTCAAAAGTTACCAAATGTCTAATGCTGGCGGTTAGCTATCTATTTATTTTCCCCGCAACGCCCCGTGCCGCCCTGTCCTGCTGCCTGTGGCCGTGTTGGCCGAGGTTGACGACAGGCCGCAATTGTTGGCCATTGGCAAATTCGATGAAATGAAAAATACAAACAAAATCATTTGTCAAAACATTTCGAAAGAGCTTTATAAACTCTTGGCTTCAATAACAGGCGGCGGCGACAGCAACTCCACCCTCCCCACCCCGTCCAAAATCGATGTTGTCCACTGACGCAGGGAAACTTAACAACAAGCTAAACCAATCGTCGAGCACAATGGAGGCGCTGTGTGAAGGCGGAAGCGGATACGGATCGGAATTGGAAGAGGAAGCGTGAGTAAGTGTGTGCTGTGTGAGTGTGTGTGGGTGTGTGTGCTTGGCTTTCTCAACTTTGGAACTGCTTCGGCCTGGGCCTAGGTCAGTCAGGATTCGAGTGTTGCGAGTCATTTAAGAGTTCCTCTTCGGTACGCCCTAGCACCCGCTCATGATTAGTGTTAGGGGTTTTTTCTTTTCTTTTCTTCTCTTTATGCCTGCCTTTTTGATACTTTCTTTATTCTGGCTTTATTATGGCTATTTTGGCGTTTTCCTTGCCGACTTTTTGCTGCAAACATCGTTTGTCAAGCGATTTATTTCAATTATATATATTACGATTCATGCTTTCTTATATTTATTTCTGTAGTTGTTGCTGCTCATCTGTTGTTCGGTTGTTAGATTAAAGTAAATGAGACTTGAACTTGCGATAAATGTGAATAATATAGCTCTTCATTGATTTCGAATATGTAAATTGGTATGAAGAAGTATTTTTTGAGAATGTTTAAGGCTTAAGTCTTTTAGGTATTTATTTGTTTATTTTAAGTAGCGCCCCTCAGGAAGGGAAACTATCTTTATAATATATCTATATATTTATGTCTCATTTATATTTCATATACACTAAATTTATAATATATTCTATCGAGATTGGTCATAGACATAGGAAAAGACGAGTGCTTCGCAGTTCGAAAAGTTTACTAAAGAATTTCCGGAGAAACTGATTTAATAATAGTATTCAATGAAAAAATTTTAAAATATAACAAATGAAAATTGCTGCTGGATTTGATCCGTCTACCTCTTGCTTGTTGGTCGGACGCTCTTTTTAAGACAAAGTACATTACAGATTATATATGTTATAACTATATGCAAATCTCGTAACTTTTTTACGTTTATCTTCAATTTCGAATATAAATATAAGTATGTACCCACCCATGCATCCAAACTTTATTAAAATAAAGTATTTTACTGTCACTAACAGACTTGTTGCTTGACAGTATTCTCCGCTTTGACCTTTAACTTCATGTCAGCAACAGAGTTGAGCTTTAAAAATAACCTGATATTCTCAGCTGGGAGCTGTTTTTAGTTCCCTGCACTGGGCTGGTGGTCGTCCCCAGTTAGCCCGAATGCCATCGAAAAACTGTCAAATAATCATATCCAATGTAAAAGCCTTTAGGCGGCAGTCGGTTGTTCTTTCATTTTGCACCACCAACTCCCCATAGGAACTTTGATGCACGAGTTCCGCTGGGGCCTGGCCCAGCTGTTTGCCGGCGAGGCACGTGGCAATTTAAATGCAAAATCAAAAGCCGCCCGGTATGGAGAAAATTTAATTTCACCAGGCAGCAAAACAATCATATTTTCTTTTCTTTCCTTGCTGCTTTGCGCTTTTCCCCAGCATCGCATATGCACACAACCACACAACAGGCCAGGACACAGAAGTCACAAGACAGCAACCGGGAAGCAGGGGAAGTTCCTCCTTCCGACTGTTAACATTTTTTCCGCGTGTTTCGTAAGATATCAATGACTGATTAATGTGGGGCTCGTAAAGGTTGCCTAGTCACCAAGTTATGCGGGCACAGGCACAAACTGTGGGGTAACCAGACAGTTGCCAAACCGTTTTCGAATTTCAATGCCACGTGCCATGTACTGCTCGCCTAACCACACACACGCACCTTTCTAACAATATTTTACCACAAAAATAGATAGCTAAAGAGACTGAAAGCGTATTTAAATCTGGGTGAGATCCGTCTATCCAGCACTTAAACGCATTAGATCAAAGTAAAAGTTGGCATGGGATAAGAGTAGATGAGATTCCGCACAATGAAGTCTTCTTATTTTTGGGAAATATGTAATTTTAAGTTTAGCACAGTTACACTAATTGATTATTCTTTCGATATGAGTTTATCGATACTTCGATTATTAGATAATATTCTGTCAGTCAATTAAAATTCCAACATCGATAGTTTGAGTAGCTCGATTAATCGACAACAGTCTGTCAGTCAACAAAAATGCCATTATACTGATGATCGAACCTAAAAGTGGCTTTCTCGTCAATGGATCTTTCGTTGAGTCGATTATTGACGGTTAAGCGATAAATCGATTTGTTATTTTATATATTTCAATATAGAATAGAATCCCGTGCGGCTGTTTTATATATCTGAAACATATTTACCTATTACAAACAAATGATATTAAGTCAGGATACCGATAAGTGGGACTAAAAGCAACTTACAGGTTCACAGATTTGTGAGTAAATGGACAATGGTCGATTTACCGATAACCCGATTACTAGACTTTTAATTTAAATATACAATAGTGCCGCCTCGCAGTTTATGGCATTGTAGAGAACCGCATAGCCTTTTCTCCTGAACAACGCCAATTTATGCAAATCCTCTTGAATGGCTTATGCTTCATGAATTTATATCGAATAGCGGGTTGCGGCTTTAAGAGCCAAACAATAAAAGCTCATTTGTTGCTATTATCGTTTGGACCAACAACAAATAACAAATCATCGAGCCAGCGGGGCGATGGAGCACTAAGCACAAAACACCCACCTGTTTCTATAAGAGGGATCGGAATGGGCCTGAGGGGGCAAGTGGGTTGGGCTGGGGGGTGTGGCTTATAGCCGAATCGTGCACAGCGCTCACCTCGGACAGAAGCTGTGCGCTGATGCCGCACAAACTGCTGCCAATAAATTGTGTTAATAAACCAAAAGTTGTTAATTTAAATGATTTATATCTGAAGGCTGTGGGCGTTGGGTGGGAGATGGTATGTTGGTTATTGCTGAGCCTCAAAAATTTACGTAATTTGGCATAACCTTTGCGGGGCTGCGCCTTAGCCAGCCTCTTTGGCCCGCGCCCAGCCCGCCCGCACGTGCCCGCCCAGTGCGGGGTCAACTGTGTGTGTATTTGTATGAGTTGTGCGTGGGGAGGGGGCTGGATGTCTGGGGGCGTGCCGCTTGCCCGCCATCAGCTTAAACCAATTTACGTTGCCGATGTCTTCATTTTGGCAGCGGCTCAGCGCCGTGTGTCGTGAATTATGGCGACCCCTCACGGCCAAATGGGGCAACTGTGCGTATGCGTAATGTGCAGACCGGCCCGACAGCCTGTTGTCTATGCCAGTTTACCCACCGCCCACTTTTTAAGGCTACTATCGAAAGCCAGCAAAAACTTTGGCAGTTCACGCTTCCCTACTATCCCTTCTGCTATATACAGCCTGGCATGTGTATACATACATAATGTATGCATGTATATACATTAACTTATATATAAATTTATGTCTTATTGTTTTTTTTAGTCGAAATTATTTCATTTGTTTGTCTTTATTACAAGCAAATCCCGTTCAATGCCACATTGGCTGTCCTGCTAAAAGGGGCCTAAGGGCGGTGTAGGGGGTGTGTAGCATTTCATTTAAGCGGCAGCTTCCATTTTCCACAGCGTTTGCTTTTAATGGTCGGCGGCTGTTTGGGGGATTTTCCACATCTTAACTCCGGCCGAGACCTACAAATATTTGATGCTCACATTTTTCGCTGTTGTTTCGTTTTATTGATTGGCGCCGTGCCTGCTTTATGAGCCCCATTGTTGTCCTTGTTGTTGCTGTTGTTGCCTTTACTATTGTTTTTGTTGCTCTTTTTGGCTGTTTGGTTGGCTTTGCCGCTGCTTTCAAGCGTAACACTGCGCTACATTGTAAAGGATTTCGACGAAATTTAAATTGTTGTCCCAACAGCTTGACAGGAAGTCAGTCTTCATCTTCCTCCGCCACATTGCCATCCTTTATCCCGCTTGCTTTTCAGTTCTTCAACTTTGTTTTAGTTTCTTTAATTAACAATTGATAAGCAACTACAATTTGCGTATTCTTGCTCCTCAATTATGGGCCTGAACAAATATTTGTGCCTGGCACGAGCTTAAAACTTTTCTGAGCTAACTAAATATGTCTACTTTTTGTGTTTTTGTTATAAATTCAATATTATTACGTTAAAAACAAACCCAACCCAACGAATTATGTTCCCTAACATTCCCCTCTCTCCACCTGCATGAGTTTTTCAATTCTAAAACGAATTTCCTGATCTTTAACATTTTTTTTCTGCTTTACCACCCCCAACCCTAAAGTATCCAAGTGTTTAATTAAATAAAAAATTATAATGGTAAGTTATTTGTCAAAACTGAATCTATTTGGACAAGTAAAATCTTTTTGGTTTCGGGATTAATTTATTAGCTTAAATAAAATAAAGTATTCTAGCTTTTTCAATAGTTACCTAAGCATATTCTTGTTGTGAGTCAAAAAAACGCGTCGCGTTTTGTGTTGCATTCATCTTATCCATTGAAAGTATATTCATGAGATTATGCATTCTCTCAGCTGGACTCAGGTGAAGGCAAGTTGGGCAAGTTGGCAAGGCATAAATGAATATAAAGTACTAGATTACAACTCAGTCATTTGACAAGCGCTCGTAAGGACATCGACGGATGCTCGGGTTGCGATTGTCGCTGTTGTAGTTATTGCTGCTTTTGAATTTTTAATATAATCATGAATTATGCAAAATAGCTGATAAGACAGCTAGCGGTGAAGACGTTGCATTTGCGGATTATGGCTGAAATTAGTGAAAGTGATCGGAAATCTTGAGATAAATGTGGGAACGTTTATGAATTCTGCTGTTTTATGTTGCAACACTTGTTAAACAAATTTGCAAGTCAGCTCGTAAGTTTTGTGATTTTTTCTTCTCTGGCACAGACATAAAAAAGCTGGTTCTATCAAAAATGCAGAAGTCATTGCCGGGTCAAGGCTGCGCGCCTGACAAGGTGCTTGTTTGTGAGTGTGTGGGTTTGTGGCCGAAATAAATTTGCTATTGATAGCACACAGCGCCAAACAATTTGTAATCAGTTGAAAAGGGCTGTGCGCCCAATTCCCCAGTGGCTCCGACTCGTTTACACCATAATCCAATCGTTCGAAGCGCTTTTATGGTTTCCACATGGCGAATCGCGTGCGAATTTGAATTTGAATTTGTTCTGCGCATGCCGCCACGTGCTCGCCGTAACCCATTCTGCACTCTTCATACAATCCGACGAGCCATTCCATTACATACCATTTGTTTAGGATCCATTCACATCCATCTAACCATCGTAAACCCCGCGGGGGTTGCCAAAGGTTTTCGGCGTAGGCGCGCCGCGTGTGTCCACGTTCTCTATCATCAGGACACATGCTCCGTTTAAGTGCTAAAAAACAAACGCAGCGAATCAGAAAAATAAATAAAAACTTATTCACGTCATGTGATTTGAGGCATTCTTTTCAAATGGTCTCCCATATTTTGTATGCGTACTGTGCGAATTACTATTTATGGTTGTTTGTCATTTGTTTATTATACCCTGTGGCAAGAAAAGGAAGCATGCAACAGGCGGCAAAAAACATCTTCGACACATTGTACAATTGTTTACACTTGTTTGAAGGCAAGAGGAAATGCGATTTGTGTTTATGTGTTTCTTCTAGTTCACTACTTTGTTAAATTAAAATTTCGGCCCAACATTTTTAGCATGGCTTAAAACTAATTGTCCTCAACATTGTAGACACACTTTTTATAATCCTATTTTATTGTACAGGGTAACTCCTAGTCATGCCTTGTTAAGTAAACCTTTTTGTATATATATATACTCTTTTTTTGCTTACACGCACCGCATGAACTCGCAATATTTATTGCATAATTTTCATCATAACAGCACAAAGAAGGACAAATATTTCATACTGTTTGCCCCTCAAACCCATGTGTGCGTGTGTGTGCGTATTTGTACTTCCGGAAATTGGCAGGCGACATTTTGAGTCTCTTATTTGGATAGTCTAATTGGATATGGAACCCTTTTGATTAAATTAAAAACAGTGTCTTTTTCCCGACGAATCATTGTGGAGGGTTTCGGTTTCAGATGCAATTGATTAAGCACATTTTAGGGCGTAGCTTGGGTGCAATGTTAGTATATTTTTTTAATTATAAATTTATTTTATTTAAATCGATTCAAAAAATATTGAAGCAATTTTATAACAACATTATTTTTAAAGAATTTATGCAATCATTTATTTAGTTTTCAACCCAATTTTTCTCTTGGAAAATGTGTCTTACGCAGCTTTTATTGCTCAAAAGCTTTTTCGAACTCAATTTTGTTGACTTGGAAAATGTGTCTAGCAGAGCTTTAACAGGTTACAAGCTTGTTGCAACCCCTTTTCGAAGCTTTAAAGTCAAAAGGCTTTTGGTACGACAATTATAGCAGCTTTTTCCTATAAAATTTGCCTAAGCTTTTCATTGTTTATGGAGTCATATTCTATTAGCATCCGTATTATTGTGTAAGCTAACAAAAAAACATAATACAAATTATAGGACTTAATATTTAACTATATTAAAAAAAACACACAACTATAATAGATTTTATTTGCTATGGGGTTTTTCTTTTAATTTTGTAATCTTCAATCAGATGCTTTTGACTTTCTTATGTGCATTTTCCCACATAATATGCTATCAGAAAATTTAAAAAATATATTTTCTGTATTTTATTTTAATTAATAAATTAATATGTGGCACCTTTCGACAGAATCGAGGGCAGCTTTAATTGGCATTATATATTGAAAAAGAAGAAAAGGAAAATATGCTTAGGCTCATGATGTGAATTCACAATAGAAAGATTCGCAGCTAAAAATAAAACAAATATCATTTTCAATTATCAGAAAAACTGAAACAAATAATTGCAGGGAAGAAATAAGTATAAGCATACCATATATCATTTTGAAAGAAGAAGCAGCCACGAGTTCGAGGAATTGTTAACACACACACACACACAGAGAGACACACACACACCCACTGGCACACACGCGGCATATGGAGCGGATAAATTGTTTCTGTAAACGATGCCGAAGGAGGCTAAATAAAAGCGCAATAAAGATATTTGCGGGGCGCACACACTGCAAGGCAGACATAAACAACAACAATAAATGCGAGTCGATGGCAAGGATAAAGCAAAGGAAAAATGCAGCGGCCGGCATTAAAAAGGAAAAGCTCTACCCAATGGCCGCTCTCAATAATCAACTGCATAGTGGGCATATATGTTTATATATATATATATAGTCCTGTGCACACACAGAGACTAGAGATGGGCACGGGCCTTGAGGCCGAACACGAGCACCGCATATATACGCAACCTAAGAGTATGCTACACTTTTTATATAACCTTATTGTGTTGGTGGTTTTTAATACGAGTCAAGACATTTTTATTTAAAAACTAGGTCACTTTTATAAGGTTTTCGTAAAAAGATATGTTAAAATGAGCCATGTCCGATAGTTCGAAATTGGGGTCAGCTCAGCTGCGATATTCAGATATTGGCCAAAATTAGACGCCGGTATTTCTTTAGCTTCAGCGTGCCTTTATCTTACGTTCTTTTAGGCTCATTTTCGTTCGCTCATCTCCAACACAGATGCTTGTACTCGAACATACTTCTACTCGGAAATACTCGCGTAAGGGCGTGTGTGTGTGTGAATTGCCCTGCAGACTTTTCGAGCCGTTTGCCTTGGATCGATGTAGCGTCTGGTAGAAATATGCTGCGCTGTTAATTTCGCTATCATCCGCTCTGACAGCAGTGATTGAAGGCAGAGCAGCAGCTAAACGCTTAACGCTGATTGCTCTGCGCTGCAGCTGTAAATTGAATGTTGCCATCGTCGTGGCTGTTGCTGCTGCTGCTGTTGCTGTAACGCATTATT